AGCACGAACAAGACCGAAATACAGACCATTGCCGACACAATAGCTTATTAATCGTTCACAAGTTTGGAAGGTCGTCCCCTTCAAGAAAGAAACCCATGAAAGTTTGCTGGCTCATAACCTGCAAACCGATGAAAACGGATGGTTAATATTTCCCCTCCTGGCACCTTTTGTGATCGAACTCACGAATGCTGTAGACGAAAGACAAGTGCACTGCAATATTATAAGCCTTTGCACCAAAAGTACCTAAGATGTCTTCGCGAGTTTTAATTTATTTTTTTAAGAAAAGGAAGGAGGAAAGCGGCTGCAAAACTTCTGAGCACCATTTTTTGCTTTCAGGTCGATATCGAAGACACAAATGCACTCAAAAAGCGCATTTCTCGAGTAAAAGCTGAACGAAAAGTATCCGCTTCTGATATTTTCACGGTTGACGATCACATCAACGATTTTGAGCAAAAAGTTTATTTTTATTTGATTTTGTTGGCATTATTATTATTGCTGTTGTTACTATTATTATTGTTATTGCTATTATTATTACTATTATTATTGACGTGCAATAGGCGGTTGCTTGTTTTTGTTATATTCTGTTGCTCGTTTACAGTAAATGAATGAAACGTAACATTTCGCTCCTTTGTGGCAATATTTTTTAATCTATTCTAATGACTAGAAATATAATATAGATTATCGAGTAGTTTTTTTAAAGTTGGAACAGTTATACGAGCCAAAAAGGAAGAACGAAGATTCGGTGTTTTTGATTATGGATGGTAGCGCTTACTACGATGTCGAGGTCGAGGAAGATGATTGGATTCGTATCTGTGTTGAGCGGGGTGATCTCATTGTCATACCTCGTGGCCGAAATCATCGCTTCACGCTTACGCCTAAGGTTAGTGCATTTTGGCTTTTTTACAGCACCGCTAGCCCCAGAACATTCATCAATCAGTGTTTACTATAATACTAATTTCAGTTCTGTTTTCATGAAAAAATTTGTGAAAATGCGAGTGGAACGAAATTACTCGCTTTTTTTACATATTTCGTTTTAAAGTCGTGGGTAACTTTCTAAAAAAACCAGTTATTATAATGGCATAGTGGAACTCTTCAAAAAGTGCTTTTTACAAATAAAAAAATGAACAAA